GAAAGCAGAGAAGCCCGGAGTCCACGCCCTATACGGGTTACCAGAGCCGCAAGGTGTACCTAGGAAAGTACTCCGGCCGAGGCCAATGGCCCGCGTAAAAAGCCTCAAACCCTGGATCTCCCCCATGTAAACACATCCATACGATAAGGACATCTCTGTGTGTGCATCTGCCAACGCCTATATACCTGTATACATAAAGTGTATGTGTATGTATGTGTATAGATACACCCCTTCGATACCGTAGTAACCCTTGGAGCCAGCAAAAATAGAAGTTTCGCTCTCCAAGGCTTCCCGCTTCTCCGGTCGACTACCTGGGAGATCGTGCGCCCTTGTCACGCAGGGGCCGCAGATGCTACATGAGTCTCAAAAAACTTGTATAAATCCGGAGAATAGGAAGTCCCCTCTCCCGGGTATCCTTCGTTTTCCGAGCCCAGGCTCCCTCCCACACCCTCGTATTTCCGGGAATCACTTTAGAGGACTCCGGCCCCTCATCAATGCCTGCTCCCCCCCGGTCTCGGATCCTGAGAATAGCACGTCGCTCCTATCATATGTCATACATACGTATCCAAGCATTGACAGGGACTCTGTTGTAGGGAACCCTGCCCGTGGAGAGAACGCTGAGGGTCAGAACCTTGAACTAAGCAGTACCTTTGAAACCCCCATATATGTCTATATCCATATATATATATATATTTTATTTATTTACTTATTTATACACAGATATAAACACACGAAGAAAAACACATATTACGTGCATCTATGTATATATATATGTGTGTGTGTGTATGTCTGTGCATATACATATATATATATATATCTGTGTATGTGTGTTATCATGTAATTTTCTCCCTATAGTAACCTTCTACGCCACGTATCACCCCGAAGCGCCTATATGGCCTGCCTATAGCCTTCTGCAAGGCTTCTGGCGCCGGGTGCGCGAGAGGCTTGTTTTGGATTTCAGGGTCTCGGAGCCAACCCAAGGAGGAATGTTTCCGTGCTGTCTTCTTTTCGTGCTGGTTGTCGGCGTGAATCCAAGAGACCTGCCTCAAACTTCTCCTGAACGGTCGAGTCGGGCCGGTCTGGTAGGTTCATCGCCGAGTTACTGAGCGCCGATGTGCCGTGCTTGCTCGTCGAGGAGCTATCCCTGTGCTTGGAGCCCTTGGTGCTCAAGCTAGCAAAGCACTGTTCGTCATCGTGTCTTTTCGATCGGGAGGCTACCGCCTGTGTGCTCGAGGAGTCAGTTCATTTTAGAGCAGTATATCCGCTCTTGAAGCACGCTGGTTCATTAATTTAACAAGACCACAAAGCCGCTAATTGAGCCCTATAAACCCTAAACCTTAACATTGAACCCCAAAACCCTCAGCCTCATGTGTAAAATTTGGTGCCTCAGGAGGATGGAGCGAAAGGCGGCGCTCGCTATGTCGCTGCCTCGTGCCGACCCTACCGGGAAGAAGACTAAAGCAAAGCGAGTGCTTTGTCAGGGCCGCCCTGACCTTTCTTCTTCACTTGGCAGCAGGACGAGGATGCAAATAATCACGAGCCTGTGCCCCCTTTCGATTTACTGGTAGCATCGCGCCAGCTGATTTTTACACCGGCCTTGATGATTAAAGCCTTCAAACCCCGCCTGGCTTCTCCGAGTGGGAGTGTCAAAAAACAGCGAGGTCACGTGCTTCACTGGATGCGATCCCACGATGATCCAGAAGAGCACAAATTCATGATCTGAGAACAACCGTGCAGGATACGAGAAAATCTCCAAGCAACGCACACTGCAAAGAAGGAAGCTTCCCCACCCAACCCAGCTACCCCTCAAACACCACAGAAGAACTCAGAAGTAGCTGCAAAGCTGGCTCACGCAAGGAAGCTCACCGCTTCGCAAGTTCTCGGACACCCTGCATAGCTCACAACAGCTAAGGAGGCGCGAAACGGGAAAAAGTCACTGGCTTCGACGGCTTCGAGCCACCCTTTAAACAAACCTCAACTCCGGCCTAGCAAACCACCCGGAGCAACCCACACGGACCTACAGAAACATCGAGGTCACTCCAGACCAGCCAATCAAAATGGGCCTACGATCCGGCCAGTGCCACGGAGAAAGGGCACAATACAACCTTGACAGAAGCCAACAACCTGAAACAGATATGGAGTGCTCCCTCAGGGCTGCTTTGCGACGGCCTGGCAGCGCGGCCGCGCCGGCGGAACAGGTGCCGGTACTGCTGGGACGTCGGAGTTTAATTTTTTGAGGTTTGGGCGTAGGGTTGCGCACTTCCAAGAGCGGAATTCAGAAATTCAGAATTCATCATCCAGAAACTTCTGTAGCCTGGTATCTTTCGTCAGCTTGACTCACACATGGTGGCGATGGCAGGATCGCGAAGAAGAACCTACAGTAGGAAGACCAGTGGAAGTTTGTTAATAGGCTGGTTTCTTGTGGGACCACCTCATGTTAGGGATAGGAAGTTTCCGCGAGTTTTCTCTAGAGTGTCGGCAGGAGACGAAGGCAGAAGCCGCGTATCATGAACCAGACCGATATGTAGTAGTAACAAAAGCATACTGTATTATGGTATGGTATATTAAATTACCTTTCATTATTTATTACCTTTCATTGTAATTCCTTCTAAGAATTGTCAACATGGTGTGGGGCTCTTTGCTCTCTGCCTCAGCCAGTCTCGTCAGGCAGCGTCTGCCTTGATCTCCTCGCAGACGCTAAGCACGGCCATCGGAAGGCCTTCCTCTCCTGCCCGGGTTCGGGTTTCCAGCGGGAATTTCCTAGGTAGTATGAGGGTTTCCCCTTAAAGGGGACCCTTCTGAACCCTACTTGTGGCTTATTGAGAGGGTCTATATCCCCAAGGGTCCCCCTAATCCTAACTCCCAGAATTGAGGGTTCAGGGGCTTCTGCAGCTCCCCTGGTGCAGTGACCCCTGCTACGGGTACGGTGCGTAGCTAGAGAGGACTTTTCGTGCCCGGCTTGCAGGTGCTTCGTGCGAGAACCTCTTCCGCAAGGGGTGCAGGTCGAGAGTTTCACCGCTTCGCACTTCGTGAGGCAGCGGGCAGGGTTCAGGGTTCCGGACCGTAAGACTAGTGACTAGTAGGACTCAGCAAGCGCACATGCTCTCCACAAAGCTGGGTGTTCGTCAAAACGAGGGTTGAGTGACCGATGTCCGTCTACAGCATCACCTCTTGGCAAACACCAAGGCCTATGAATAGATTTAAACCGAAATGCATGCGCTTCATCATTCTCAGGCTGTTTGGGAGCCTCGATCACCCTTTAAGCCTCACCTCAAACCCCCAAAAGTAGGTAAAATAATGACCCAACACCTACAACAGGCGATTGTTCTACAAACTGTGACGGTCCAGGTATCAGCCTTATAACTTATAAAGCCCTGAGACAAGCACCCCAAAAGCCTGGGTCAAGGTGCCTGGCAACTCTGGCGGAGGTTGGACTTTGGTTGTTCCGGGCAGCAGCGGGCGAGATGCATCACACGCGCTTTTCAGCGGAGCGAAGCCGCACCTCAACTTATAACTCACAAGGACGAAAGTACGCAGAGCCCTTGGAACTTGGAATTATACCATATTATACCCAGGTCCCGAGAAAGTCAGAAGATCTATGGCCCTCCGTACAAAACCAAACGCCCCCCCACATCGGAGGCCGCGCTGAAGCACGCAACTTACGCAGAACGGGCCATGACCTGAGTGCGCTGGAGGGACGAGGCTTTGTAACCCGCCCTATACACCCTATAACCCTAAACCCTAAACCGCGCGTATCCGCCATGTGTGAGTCGAAACCTAAACCCTTTTGTGAGAGCGTAAACCCCAAACCTAAGACACATCGTCCCGAGTTTGAAGTTTTCGACGACACTCGGGGTCAAACCCCCCAAAATGCCAACCCTTGACCCTGAGGTTGCAGAGCTCTCCAAGCTTTATGCAGCCTTCGAGGCACAGCTCGCTCTTGTAGGGACCAACTGGAATCTTTTGGAGGTTTTGTGATTGGGATGCATTTGGTGCTGATTCTTGGATGTGTTCGATAGGTGTCTCGTATTGAGCAACCCAGACCTAGCCTGCCAGGGGCTCCTGTCGGAAATCAGCTTGACCCGCCCGGAGCTCCACAAGATACAGGCACGCGTTTAGGATGTGCATTTTAGAGAGTCTGTTGTTGAAGGGGTTTGAGGTGCTGGTTGACGTAAAGGGTTCTTAAAGTCTTAGCGAGGCACCTCGCATGAATTTGGCGGAAGCCTCGTTTGGTTTATGCATTCCTTTTGTGCTTTCGTCAGTTGTGCTTTCAGTTGTCGCGACGGTGTTGTGGTATAGACAGTAAACCCTAGCCGGTGCTCTCAAGATGTATGTGTGTGTGTGCGCTTCAGGACGGATCAAAGATTTGAGAATCGAGTTTTCGAGGTAGTGTTGCAGCTCGATCATATCAGGACTGTTGGGGAATAGTGGACGCCTACGGTAGGATTTCCCAGCCCTCTGCGAGGACCGAGCCGACCTTGCTCTTAACGCTGCCTGCTGGCCATGCAGAACAGCTCGAGGTGCAAAAAAAATCACGTGGGGCTTGAGAGGGACTTGCCTGATGCTTAACCATTTCGGCCGTTTAACATTAAAAGTTGACGCGTTTATGCTGTCTAGCAACAGGCGACAGGCCCGGTTCGTACTCGCAAGAAGTACCGCAAAGAAGGGCATGCCCAAATGTCCTATGTGCTCATGCGTCCTAAGCTTGACTAAAGGACTGCGCGCAGTGTCGGAGGATTAAAACTGGGAGCCGCGTTCGGGCCGCACCTACGTCGGCATTCTTGGTGTCCCTTTTGCCAGGCGAGACCTTCTTCTGTGCCGCAGCATGTGGGCCAATCTTTGCCGGCACAGAGGCCGGCTAAGTCGTGCCACTGTCGCCACACATCAGTGCACAAATAGGTCGTGAGCTCTCGCATGTATTTGCATTGCATGCCCAGGGAAGGTTCGAAGGCCCGCAAGAGCGAGGGCTCGAAGGCGGAAGGCTCCCGTGGCCCTCAGGCATGTTAGCGGAGTTCGCCTCAGTGCTTCCCCTTCCGGCAGCCGTGGCCTGCGGCATAGTTGTCCTGTCTGTCCATGCCGCTTTGGCGGAATGGGATTTGAAGGGCTTGTCGACGGCCTGGTTGAGCTGGGTTAAGAAAGGAGCGGAGAAGTTGAAGAAGCCGGATTTGCAGGAGCAGCGTATGGAAGATGCCCTGCAGAAGATGATGATGGAACATTACAAGCGAGCCATACGGTACCTGGCGCACTTCCTGGCAGTCGTAGTACTGTGCCTATTGTACCCCATGCAGCAGCCGGACTTTGTCACCGTAGTCCAGTTTGTTGCGGTCTTGGTGCATTATCTTTGCTGCTGGTGGGTGGCGAGATCGCACCTCACCTTCAGCACGCTTCGACTGCTCACGGTGCTGTCACATTTTCTTGTTGACACCTTCTTCGTCGTCGCCATACATGTCTCGGAGAAAGCGGACTACAACCTCCTCGCGGTTGTCTCAGCAGCCTTGCGCGTGTGTGGGGCTGCTGTCTTGCACGATCCGCCTGTTTTCATCCCATGTCAGGCGTGGGTTTTTGTGGTGGAAGTTGCGTGCTACTTCGGACTGGAGGGGGCACACCGCGGTCCTCCTTTGCACTTCCTTTGTGGTCAAGCTGTCATCCTGGCCTTGGTCTGTGGAGTCGCAAACATGGTCCAGGAGTGGGCACGAACTTGCATCAAAGCTTCATTTCAGTCAGCCGACGCCAATCTCTGTTTGGAGGGCTTCCAGCGAGTGTTGCGAGGTGTTTGCGATGCAGACGTGCTGCTCGATGATAGTTTCAATTTCGTCGGGGACAACACTCGCTTGAGACGCGTCCTTGCAACACCCACCGATCTTCAAGGCGTGAAGTTTACTGACCTACTCGATCAGGAGGGAAGAACGCAGTTCGAGAAATTCGTCCGGATGCCATGCAATGCAAGCCAAAATCCGGAAGAGAGGGAGGAACAGGACAAAACCTGCAGCATTCCGCCCTGCCTGCGCATCTCGCTGCCAAGTTCGTATTCGCGGGTTGGCGTGGACATTTTCCATGTTCTGGTGCCCCGCTTTCTGGATGCTGCAGGACCCCTTCACCTTCTGGCGATTACGGAAGATCCAGATACGAGGCTGCAGCCGGATGCAACGCTTGGAGCGATTCCAGAAGCGCTTTCCATGTACTCCGAAGAGGACAACGATTGCATGTCCACGGTTGCAGAGTCGGAGGCGGCTTGCTCAAAACACAGTCTGAGCAGTTCGATGCTGTGCAGGGTACATCCCGTTCCCGAACTGCGTGAACTTACGATGCTCGTGGATGCTAGTACGGACCAGCAGGATGTGCTGCAAGTACACGCCAAGTTCAAGCGAGACAAGAACCTGCCCAATGACATTCACTCGTGCATGCCATGCTTGCAGACCATGCTGAGACCGTCGGATTGGCTCAGCATCCGTATGCGCGTGGCGAAGTTTGCGCACGAACAGTGCCAGGTTGGTTCTCCGGACACGCATGAGCTGCCATCCGTGATGCTTCGGAGACTGGATGACCAAAACAAGTTCCTGGCGGCCAACACGGTCAACCTCGCCCCGTGTCGCGGTCAGGAATCATCGAAGAAGTCTTCGTTGGTTTGGGTCTACGTCCGAGATTTCGTGAATGACGAGGCCAAATTTCGAATGCAACCGGGTAATGTCTTGACCTGAGGAGGTGCTCTGCTGCTGTCGGCTGTCGGTGCACCACTGCTTGGGTGACGCCTGAGCAAGAGCTCGGCGTCATTCCGGTTGCGCATCCTGAAGGGCATTTTGAGCTGCCAGTGTACACATGAGTGGATTCTTACTTTAGGGTCTTAGACTCAGGGACTCTCGGGTTTCCATGCTGGGGGTCATTCAGAAGGGATCGTGTTTATCTAGCGTCTGTTTGGATTGAAGAGTGATTGAAGTAGCTTGCATGCTATGGCATGAATCACCCGCTTGTTTTTGCCATGCTCGGCGTCTTGGCCACATTGGCTCCTTCGAGTTATCTCCTCGAGGCTCCGAAGCCCTTTCGCATCCTTTCGCGCTGAAAAGAGTTCAGGGGTTGCACATGTCTGCCGGCAGGAACCATGAGCGACACGACTCGAACATGGTACAGCATGGCCAGCTGTCACGACGTAGAGTCTAGTGCAAGACGCGGCAGCTGCAGCTAGAGGCAGTGGCTACTTTAGCAACTTTCGTACAAGAGCCGTACCGAGCAGCTGAGAATAGTAATAACCTGTCATCCTTCTTCTTGTAGTTGGTTGTGTCGATCACAATATTGGCCCCAGTGGCAACAGGATCATCACACAGAACGCAAAAGCAGCAACGCCAACAACAGAGATGAAGTTGAAGCAATGCTCACACTACACATGTTTCTTTTCTGAAGCAGCTGGGCCAGGCCGATCTGGATGCTTCGTCCCTGCTCCCCACCGATGTCGCAGAGGCAGCCTAGCACTGCACGGTTGAGGGGGCGGGGGGGAATTGTATTGCCTCGGCCCCAGAGAGCACATCCACAAGGAGCCGCCGCTACAATAAGAGCCGGAGAAATAAGGTATACATGTGCCCTAGGTGCAGAGAAGTCTGTTGATGCAGACATTCACTCTTTTTTCAGTTGCAACATGGCAGGATTCCTGACGCAAGAGGCGTATCACCGGTCATGAAAGCAGAAGGGAAGGTGTCAGACGTCTAGTCATGACCCAGTTGGCAAAAAAAATGTCATTCCCCAATCCCTCTAGGCCCAGGACTTTGGCTGTGCGAGATAGGGTTTCACGTCCTGCGAGGGCTTCTTTGCATTTCGGCTGGCCTCCCTTGGCAATTTCGCTCTGGGACTTAAGGTATAGGCTTGACATCTGAGCCTTCTCCGAAGGAATCAGAGCTTCGAGGGTCTTCCGCCCCGAAACCTAGACCACCTTCAGGCCTTAATTGCTGTTCGTGTTTTTTGTTTTTTTGCCTGGCCTCGCTTCATGAGAATATGAGTACACTATACTTGGTTGCACATACCAAAACCTACTTTTGCCAGGGGACCCCAGAAGTTATGTAGAATTGACAGAAGTTCTAAGAAGAACCACCCCAAACCCTAAACCCGAAACCCAGCTTTTATAAGACAGGGCCGACAGCGCTGGCGCTTGCGGCTGCTTCTTCCTGAGGCACCCTCGCACGGGGCCACGGGGCTTTAGCGTTGTGCTTAACGTCGTCTTTCTTGTAATGGTGGCCTAGAAAGGCTTTAGAGGAGTGTTTATAGTCTGTAGTGTATCATGCTGGTTGAATGTGTTGCTCCCGAAGGCTCAATACTCGATAATCAGAGGCACAACGCAGTTCCAAGGTCAGGACTTTAGGGTCAGAGACTTTCCGATGGGACCAGGCCCTGATCACTCGAGATTTCCGGCGGTATTCAGGGGGGTTGGGTATTTATGAAAAAAGGATTAGGGTTTAGGGGTATAGAAGCGCAAAGCCCCCAATCCGCAACTCCTCTGCCTGGAACGAGTGGGGGAGAGGGGTTTTAAGAAAACTAAATAGACATCAACAACAAACTAAATAGACATCTAAAAAGAACTAAATAGGCATCAAAGAAAAACCACGTGGGTATCCCGAGAGACTGACAGAAAGCCAGAAAGACAGACACAGCAGAACGACAGAAAGAAAGAAGGAGCAAAAGACAGAAGAAAAGAAAGAAAGAAAGACAGAAAGAAAGAACGCATGAAAGATAAAGAAAGAAAGAAACCAAG